TTATGCCATCAAACGTGGCTTTGGGACATTGCAGATTAGATTTCTCTCATTCAGTTATTCTCCACCATCCTTTCCCACAAAAAGGGGAAAAGCATTTTCAGCATTTCCAGTGCAGCCTTTCACTTTGCAGCAGCTTTCTCAGATTGTCCCTCCCAATCTGGGCATCTTAAAGCCAGTTTCCTGTTACGGTCAGAAAACCAAAGCTATGCTTACATTTGAGAAAGCCTATCACAGTTACAGCCACAGCTCTTCACTCAACCTCCTCCCCATCTTTCCTGCACCCCAGCATCCAGTTGCACTGGATTTCCACTTGCCTGTTCACCACTTTGCTCCACAGTTACAATGGCTTGTGTTTCCCTGCAGCTTGACCAGCAATTGTTATCTGTGAAGGACAGCAGGTAACATTCTTTGAGGCCAATCTCAGTGTGTTTTTGTGGAGCTGGCAGGAGGCACCCTAAGAATAACACTTGGCTCTTCCTTTCCTCTTTTCTTTCAACCTGAGAGATGTGGAGGGTTTTGAGTCAATGAAACCTCTGCCATCAGAGTAGCCCCAGCCTCCTAGAGCACCTGGGGATCTTAGAGGGAGATTCCTTCATCCTCTTGACTGAATACTATGAATAGTATTTTATTGGCAGCTACTTGGGACAAAGGAAAACCAGACTGACAGCTAAATCTATAACAAAGCACTCGCAGTCCTACTTCAAAACCAATGGGACAAATAGCAACCCAGCAAAACCCAAGCTCTGCATGCACAGTCTTTGTTTTTTCCTAGGATTTTCTCTTTGAGAACCAGAGGAAACCAACTGGATCAAGGCATCACTCAGAGCAACTCAAAGATCTAGAAACAGCATCTTACCTTTTCATCTGTAGGCAAAATGCTGAGTGCAAGTGCAAAGAGAATACAAGGTGAGCGTCTCCTATCTCCCTCACACAGATGTGGTCCCTTTGATGGTGAACCTGGCAGGCACATTAGCTGCAGATTCTGCCTTTCAGCAGGAGCCAGAAAGCAGCTAAATGCTTCAGGGCAGTTAAACAGAAGGTCTGCTTCAAAGTGCAGGGGGTATTTATTTAAGCTGCCCAGCTGTTTTGTTGGCATGACACAGGATGAAAGTGGAGCTCCAGCACAGGGTTGCCTCATGTCAGCGCTGGCTGAGAGGGCAGGGTAACACACTGCTATGGTGTCTCTGGGAATCACACATTAATAATGCAGATAAACACCTCTGCTGCACTGTGGTCAGGGAGAGCTGAGCTGCCTGCCAAACCAAAACAGTGTGTGGAAGAGTTTTTTGGTACCTTAGGTTACTGCAACAGTGCTGTGCTAGGGACACAGCCTGCTCTTAACCACTTGTTTCCATGCTCTGGAAAGTCCTTAACTTTAGCAACCTCTTCTGACCTCCTTCATTTTCCTTACCCTACAGAAGCAGTAAAATTCACCCTTTCAAAAGGCAGCTCGATAACACAGCAGCATCCCTAGCTCTTCTCAGTGCTCAGGTCCCTCAGTGTCTGAGCAACAAAGTAAACTCCACCTTCAACTCTTTGAGGACCACAGTCCACAAAAGACAGTGCTAGCCTGAGACTTGCTGATGTGGGTGTTAGGGGTGTTCTCACACTGCTGATGCACCTCTTCTTAAAGGATAAATTCTGCCCTGAGACATATGCCAGGCAGAAAGAGGTCTGAAATATGCCTTTCTTAAATTGCTCTAAACCAAATACACACATTACAAGTGCAGAAATCATCCTCTTCTTAGGGTTCATATATTAATAAAGGATATAGGGGAAGTACTTTACCAACTTAAACTGCCCTTATAACTCTTCACAACACCAGACCTACATCCTTCTTACTCCACCCAATGCCTTGCACTTCCTTTCACAAACTCAGGATTACATCCACCTGCCTCCCGAGGTAGCAAAGCTGCTACTACTAAGGAGAAAATGTGTAAAGCAAAGATAAGGCCTTAGAGCTACCCAGGGTGCAGGCTCAGGGCTGATGAGTGAGTTGCAGTGCTGTCTCTCAGCCATTATTTCGATCCATTTTGGGTTAGTACTGGATGGCCACAATCCTGTAAGGGAAATTAGGGGCGGTTTTTGCATCTTGGGTCATTTTCCCTGTGGGGAGTCTTTCTCTGGACTCTCCTGTACAATTGCTATTACTCTGCTCTCTGCTTGTAAAGCACAAAAACTCAGGCATTTATTCCCTGTATAAATACAGTATGTCACTTGAAATTGGAAATAGGCTCTGAAACTGCCCCTGCTGTAATTGTTTCTCGTTTGACAAAGCAGGAGCATCAGCTCAGCTACGTTCATTCACGTATCTCCCTTAAACCATGATACCCGACAGTCCTAGCTTTAACTTTTCATGCTCTTCATGTCACAGCCAAGAGGCACAAAACTCTTGAACTGAGAAATAAAGAATATCAAGACCCTTTGTCACCCTAGACCACAAATGGTGCAGTTTGAATGCTCAAGGGCTGAACCAAGCTAAACCCAAGCACGTACGCTGGGACAGATTTCTCTTTGGCTCTGATAAGCTCAGACGTTGGCAGATTTCCTGGACTCCAGACCAGCCCAAGCTGCAGCAAGAGACACAGTACATGTGCATCTACATGGGTGCTGTATGTATGTGCATGTGTGGCAGGGATGCTAGACAATAAACCCAGCTTTGTGTGCCAGGCTCCCTGTAAATAAGAAGCCACAGGGTGATGGATGGGCTTGGGAAGGCCTGGAGCAGAACGAACGGGGTAGGCTCTGGTAGCTGACATGCAGAGAGCTGGCTGGAGCCAGGAGGATGGCATTGTGCAGATAAATGAGATTTCACTTCCCTGCTGGGTCTCTTTCCATCTGTTTTTCTGTTTCTGAAGGCAAATGCTGGGAAGCTTCATAAACAATCTGCCAAGAGACCTTCCCATTTCAAAGGACACTCTCCCAGCTTCCTACCACCCCCAAAAGCACACAGGTAATCTTATATGCACCCTTTTCTTTCCCTGCCCAGGGCAAAAGTAACAACACTTTTCTTCTCTCCAACATTTCTGAGTCCCCTGCTCACCGATCTCCAGTTCTTTTGGGTCCCTCTTTGGAGCTGCCCTTTCTTAGGTTTCCTGTATCCATCATCACCTTTCCTCCCTACCTCGCCATTCATATTTATCTGACTCCACAGATTCCTTGTCCCCTGTGACTGTGTTTGGTGCGAGAAGGACAGAGCAGCTCAGCAAGTCACACTGTATTGGAGGGGAAGAGGGGCACATGAATGAATATGCAGTACCCTCTGCTCTGCTTCCCTCTGGGACTTCCAGAAGTGGCTGACACAGCCATCATAGGCGTCCTGCTATCAAACAGAGTCTACGCTGCCCAATAATGAGATTAAAATAGCAATGAGGCTGAGATTAGCATCCAAGATATAGTCACTTGCTGTCAGCACAGCAGAGAGGACTCTCCAGTTTAATGCACAATGCCTAGTGACAAATGAGACACAATCAATAGCAGAGGTCGTTGCTCACCCGGCTGGAAAGCACCCACCGGTGTGACAGGGAGAACAGGGGCACACTGAGCCTCATCCTCACTGCTGGGAGAAGTGGATGTGTCCCGTCTGGCACAACAGCCAGGCTGTGCTTTGCCCCTTTTTCCTTGCGTGTCATTCTCCCTTTGAATCAAAAGGTGTGGGATTAATGCCTCCTTCTGCAAGGGAGAGGAGCTGGGGATACAAACCCCTTTGGCTGACGGGAAGACTTCAGGTGTGAACTGGATAAACGTCACTTAAATCCCACAAGATGAATTACCAGCTGTAATAAGCCTTTAACTGATGCCAGATTGATTGAATTCAGAGACGAGCTCTCACTTTTACCAGCAGAGAACAACCCGCGGGGTACTCAGGGGCTCGGTGCACGGGCAAACACAATGACTGGGTGGGAAAAGCTCCCTTCAGCCCTCAGCTACTTTCAGAGCCGGGCCGTACCCCTGCGCTGCCGCTGCCGGGGAAGGGGGGACCCATCTCGGGGCTGGGGGGAGCTCGCAGAAGCCCCTGGAGTAGCAGGGACCTGGGGCGCTGGGACTCCTGCCCCGCACACCCCTCCCTGCAAGGTGCGCGGCGCTGCTCATCGGGACCGGGAGTGCCCGGAGCCGGCTCCCGGCACGGGTGACAATGGACAGGGCTGGCTGAAGGAACCGGGCACCGGCGCTGTCCGAGCTCGGGACTCGGCTCCGCGACCAGGGGCACCGCGCTGGGGGTTCCCGTTACCCCCCAGCCTTTGTCTCCGCCGGGGCGCACGGAAAGTGGGAAAGTGCCCCCCGCTCCCCGCGGTCCGTGCGGGAGCAAAGGGAGCTCAGACCGAGGGAGTCACCCCCGGGGCTGGGCGCGGGGTGAGCGCGGAGCGGGCAGCGCTGCCTACCTGTGCGCGGCTCCTCGGTGCGGGCTGAGCCCTGCGGGCAGGCGGGGCAGGACAGCGGCGGTGCGAGGGGAGGCAGCTCTGGCGGGGGGCAGCGGGTGCTCAAACCCGAATGCAGGAGGAGGAGGAGGAGGTGGAAGAAGAGGAGGAGGAGACAGGGGGAAGGCAGTGGGGGAATGTGGAGAGGAGCCGGGGCCGCCGGGAATCCCGAGGGATTGGGGTGCATGGTGCGGGGGAGGTGGGGCTGGGAGGGGCGCGGGGGGACGCAAGGGGCGGGTGATGCGGGGTGCCCGGTGCGGGATGCTCCGGCGGGGCTGGAGGCAGGGACCGGGGCGGACAAAGGAAGGAGACAAAGGCGGGGCGGCCCCGGGGGCAGGTTCCCGCTCACCTGCGCGGGGCGGGGCAGGGTCCCAGCTGCCCGCAGGGGCTGCCCCGTGTCACGATAGCGGGGTGGGAAACGGGGCTGTGGGACCGGAGTCCCCCGCTCCCCGCACCGGGTCCCGCTGCAGCGGAGGGAGCTGCGGTGCCGGGAGAGGGGGGGAAGCGGCCGGGAACCGCTTGGGGGCGCTGGAGGAGCCTCAGCACCCGACCCACCGCTGCCGGTCCTCCCGCCGCCAGGGGGCGCTGGGCCGCACGCCGTCCTGACGTCACATGGGCGCGCCGCCGCCCGCGCTGAGCGCCGCCGTGAGGGAGCGACCGGCGGTGAGGGACAGCGGCAGCGCCGGGGGTCGGGGCGGAGGCTGCGGGGCCCGTTCGGGAGGGGAGCGGCGCTGACGCCGGTAGCGCGGCCCCGGTGCGTCCTCACCTGACTCCCTCCCGCCTGGCCGTTGGGGCGGGCGCTGTGCGGGGCACCGGGAGAGGCCTGTGCAGCCGGTCCGTGCGGCACACACGGGTAGGAAGGCGGTGGGTTACGCACTGCGTGGTGCCCCCGCCTGCTTTGCTTCCCTTTCCCTTTCTCTGTAAGGGATCGCTGCCTTCCGAAAGCACCACGAGAAGGGCAGGCTTTGTCCTGATGCCTCCTTCCTGCTTCCACCGTTAAGGTGGGACGTGTTTCCCTGGCCTCGTACGTTGAGGGCAGTGAATTCGAATGGCTGGATGGAAGCTGGTACCTGCAGCGTTGATCCGAGCTGTCACTGCGAGTCCTTGAACTGAGGGAGTATGGAATGGGTGACCCTTGTGACTGAAGGGGGGATCTTGGGAATCTGGGATCTGTTTAAGAAAGGGTGATGTTAAGATGAAGAACAAACCTAAACCTCTGAAAGCACAGATTCTTTGTGCTATTCTGATACAGATCAGTTGTACACAGCTGAGAGTCGCTGTGGCTGAGGTGCTAAGAGAGATGCTCAAGTATCTTTAGTTCTATTTATTGTAGCAGATCACCAAGATTCCCTGTACATAATGGTCACATTGTGATTTAAACCAGAGGAGAGCAGCAGCCTGTGGTGTGAAGGTTAAAGTAATTGTGGGTCTGCAAAACAGGGGTTGTTGTAGCTGAAACAACTTGAAAATCAGTGGCTCAACATCTGGTTGCAATGGCTGTGCCTTATCGGGGGGCTGTGAGAGGCACCTGTGCTGCTGCTGCTGGAGCACGGTTCAGGAGCACTGGTGCTGCGGTTAGAGCTTGGATGGGAAAAGTAATAGAAATCATTAAAGTAATAGAAAAATAAATAGGAATTTATGAGCAGCTTAAAATGTGTAAGGTGCAGACCTCGGTGCATAGGGAGAGCTGTTGGGAAGTGAACCCCAGCATCTCTTTGATTGTTGGCACAGTAATGTCCCTTTATAGTTGTCACAAATGTCAGGCTCCCCAGGGCAGGGGTCAAGGGATGTCTGGGCATCTCTTAGTCATAGGGTGTCGTTTCAGGTACTCCTGTGAGGAACAGGGAGGTGAAGTTCATGATCTCTGTGGGTCCTCACCTATTTGAGATATTCCATGATTCTGTGTGCCAGATTCCATGTTAACTGAATCATGGAGCTGGGTGGGGTTTGGTTTCCTTGGGACCAGAGAGTGAGAGACACGGACGCTGTTGGTAGTGGACAGCACAGGAGTACCCGTGTTGTGTCAGGTCAATGAGGGTGCAGATCCAAGCTGAACAAGCAGTGCTCTGTGGTGCTGGTGTTAGCATAACCCCATAGGAACAATGTGGAACTGGGATAGGATAGAGGGGTTAGCAGAGGGTGTGTTCTGGTATGAGAATACTTGTGTGGCTTTAGAAGAACAAAGTGATCGCTTAAACTTTGTGTCTTAGGAATCATGGATTGTCCAATCCTGGCCAAAGGCATCAAAAAGGGAGACAGCAAAGACCTGGGAGCTGGCAGATTGTATTCTTGAGTGTGTTGGCTGAGCTCAGCAGCACCAGGGCAGGGGATGGCTCCAGGAGCTGACGCTGTTAATAACACAGGAGCCAGAGGATAAATGTTGTTTTTGTGGTTACTTCCAGGTTCTGGGCAGGATGACCACTCTCACACGGCAGGACCTTAACTTTGGGCAAGGTAATGTGCTAAGCTGCCATCTGGTGCGTTTGCAAGGCTGCTCTTCCTGCAGCTCAGGGGAAACAGGTGAAATTAGTACAGGGAAAGTATAGCTACTTCCCCTGAGTATATCCCCATGAGTCTATGGTATTGCTGTGCATGTTTCCCCCCTCCCTACACCAGCATTTTTTGTCTTGCAGTTGTTGCAGACGTGCTGTCAGAGTTCCTGGAAGTGGCTGTTCACCTTATCTTGTACGTCAGAGAGGTTTATCCTATTGGGATCTTTCAGAAGAGGAAAAAATACAACGTACCTGTCCAGGTAGGAGTGTTTCCTGGAAGCTGGCAGCCACGTGGATGAACAAGCCAAATAGCGAGTATCGGGCAGCACTCACCAGAACAGAATACATCACTCCCAGAGCTTGTTTTCATGTGCAAACTCGTGTTTGAAGAGAACTCGGTTCCTGTCAAAAGGGAGAACAGCTGAGGATAGAGCAGTACTTGCGAAACAAGCACATCATGGGCAGCAGCAGTAGTGAAAGGCTTCCTGGCTATGTGCAGTAAGGCAACACGGCAGCATGCTTCCTAGGAAGTGGTGATGGTTGGGATATGCTATTCCCAACATGCTACTGGGGGTATATATTCCCACTGTGCTACAGCCATGTGGGTACAGTGATCTGCCTCAGCTAACTAACCTTCCATGAAAGAAGGTGATGGTTTGAATTACTGGTTGGAATTGGTAACTTAGAGGTGAAGAAAGCTATTTGAAGCCTGACTTGGGACTCAGGTGCTTTGTAACACACTGGTTGGTGCTTCTGCTTAAACCTTCTCCTTTAGCATTGTCCTGGTTCACATCGGAGCCCAGCTCTGACTATTCCCTGTGTTTGCTGCAGATGTCCTGCCACCCGGAGCTGAACCAGTACATCCAGGACACCCTGCACTGTGTAAAGCCCCTGCTCGAGAAGGTGAGATCATATTAGGGACCTGGGCAAAAGTACTGCCTGGGGTCTTGATAGGAAGTAAGAGACCACAAATGGCATTTCCACTGCAAAATTCATTTACAAGTTTACCATATCCAATATAGTAGGTGATAAAGCTACAGCCAACAAAAACATCCGTCACATTCTCTTGCAGTTAAGGCCCTGCCTTGCTGCTGCTCATTGGCGTTTTGTTGTGTCCGATACCTGCACATGAGGATACACATCTCTGTGTTTCCAGTTGCATCATTCTGTGTGTTAATGTGCTGTTTATGAATACATTGAAGTTTAAGCACGGCAGGATAATTTGAATGCTCTGCTGTAAGCCAGCAAGCAAAGGTAGTTTGAACTCTAGGCTTTGTAGGAGAGAGGTGTGACCATACAAAACATTTCAGGATGTAGGATGCTGGCAGATCCTGTGTTCTTTGTTCTCTACAGACACAGCTAGAGAATGGAAACAGTACAAAGCTGCTGTATTTGGCCAACAATCTAAGTGTATCTGAGCTTCCTCATCCTTGTCCATTCCTGAGGGATGCAATGAGATGGCTCTATCCTTTGTTCCAAAACAGTACTTAGAGAAAAGTACTGTTTGGTGCATCTCATAGCATCACAGAATCAAGTAGGTTGGAAAAGATCTTTAAGTCCAACCTTTACCCTAGAACTGCCAAGTCCACCCTATCTCTAGACCTTAATGATAAGCTGTCAATCAGTCTAACATCTAGCAAGTAATGCCTTTGAAAAAGCCTTTTGTCTCATCAGTAAGAACAGTCTGGCAGTGCTGAAGCTCTGATAACTGCCAGTGCTGTGAGCCACAACAAATAAGCGTACTCCCACTTTGTCAGAAGCATGTGAAGCACCGCGGGGGCAGAAGACAGCTCGGTTTGAAGAGGTTTTTCTATCTTTGTTCCTGCAGAACGACGTGGAGAAAGTGGTAGTTGTAATCCTGGATAAAGAGCACCACCCTGTGGAGAGATTCGTCTTTGAGATCACGCAGCCACCTCTTCTTTCCATTAGGTAAAGCTCCCCTTGCTGCTTGCCCGGGGCATCCACACCAGCCTCTGCAGGGGTGGGCTGGAGGCAGCCCCCGCACTTTGCTGCATGCCCATAACAGCTGCTCTCTCCTCACCAGTTCAGAGTCCCTGCTCTCCCATGTGGAGCAGTTACTGCGTGCCTTCATCCTGAAGATCAGCGTGTGCGATGCTGTGCTTGACAACAATCCCCCAGGTAAGCATTCCCCACAGCCTCACAGCAGGGCCTTGCCTGGCTGGGGGCATGCGGTGGTGTCCGATCCTCTGTTGGTTGTCCCCTGACTGGGATCTTCACCTGTCTCTTGCAGGTTGCACCTTCACAGTTCTGGTTCACACGCGGGAGGCCGCCACCCGGAACATGGAAAAGATCCAGGTGATAAAGGTGAGCGATACCTTCAGCTGCTTGACCGTGAGCAGGCTGCAGAGCCAAGACTGGGAATGAGTGTTGGCATCTCGGAGGTTAAGGCTGTTCTGAACACGTACGTTAGCTTCACGTGATGCTCTCCACCACTTGGCTTTGAATGAGTCAAAATGGTTTACAAGGCTGAGCACATTCAGCAGCCACCAGCACAGACAATCGCTGCTTCAGTGCCTGGATTAGATCAGAACAATGCTTCCTGCATAATGCCTGCTCAGTCACTTACAAGTACTGACCTACTGTATGTTTAATCAAACAACAAAGCAAGCTCTCATCCCACATCCACCGTGTGTGGATGGCTGGTGCTTTACAAACAGCAAGAAACACTAAAGATTCAAGTAACTAATGGGGTTTGGGTGCACAAATACATTTTATCTCGCAGCAAAGTGCGTGCACTTCACTTTTTAAAGCAAATATCTATCTATCTATCTATTTAAGAAGCCTTGCTTAGGTACAGGGAAACACTTTTCTCAAGCCCAGTTATTTTGGGTGTCTGAAGGCACAATAAATAAAGCTAAAGAAGTGGCTTCAAAATGGAAGTGTGCTCTGCACTGCTCGGTAACAGAAACTGGTAATATAGTAGTCCAGCCTTTAAACTTGCAAGGCAGGGTAGAAATCCGTGCCCTGAGCATTGCAGAGTTGCAGTGAAATGCTGGTGCAGTGACTAGAACATGCTGGCTCAGGGCAGCTAAGAGTGTGTCTGTCTTTTACAGAAGCAAGAGATCACCTTTAGAGTAAGTTAACATTAGAGTTTGATCTGTAACTGAAGAGAGTAACACTGAGTTTGGCACAAAACGAATGTTTTAGGGTCGCTTAAAGGATGACCAGAGGTAGCAAGAGTAGTTTTAATATGAATTTATGAACGTGCAACTTAACAGAATTCAGTGGCAACATTGACTCCATTGCTCACTGCATGGATGGAGCATACAAAGGAAAATAGAGGTAAAAATAAAGCTAAAGAATGATTGATGCAGGGACTGAAGGCACAAAGGGTGAGGGGAGCTCTCCCATTGAGCAGAGGTTCAGAACTGACCCCCATTGCTTCCTGAACTGCTGGAGCCTAGGTGCAGATAGGTCTAGTCTTAGTCTCAGACCTGGTCAGCAGTTGAGATGTAAAGGGTGTCCGAAGTGTTCTCAGTTCACCATAGGTGTGATTTTTACAGGCTTTTACCTGCCAGCACTCTGCAGGTTTAAGGTGAGTCAGCAGAATGTACTGCACATTGTAATACACTGCACGGTAGTGCATACACACAGACACACACACAAAGACATCCAAAGGTACCTGTTAAAAATTCCCATCGAGTTCAGTGGAATGTTCACACCAAATGTCTTGGAGGGTTGAGCCTCAAGGAGCAGAGGGATTTCAGCCAGGTCCTGTCATCAGCTTCAGTGATGGTCCTCCAGTTACCACACACCTGAGAGATTGTGAGCTCTGGGGGTGTCCCACTCAGAAGGAGATGCTGGTCACAGCCCCCTGCAGTCCAGGAGAGCTCAAAGAGCCTCACTTGGCACCACTGTTTAGGGGGTCACCAGATGCTGGGCTGTAGTCATCAGTAATTCCCATTCCAGCCACAACCTGACTCAGTATAGAAATGGTTCAGAACTCCAGTAACAACGGTCCTGTGCCACCTGGGCATCAGGGGATGACTGATTACCCCTGCTCTTAATTCCCTCCTTCACCATGCAGGAGTTCTTAGTATGGGCAAGGGACTCTTCACCACTCAACTCAGTACACAAAGGCCAAGGCCTGATGGGAATTCCTGAGGTTGTGGAGGATCCCAGAGGACATGGGGAGATGCAGCACTGCAGTCTCAGGGCCAAGTGTGCAGGTGTTAAGTTTTGCTGATTTGAAAGGTTTGAGTTACCTGTTTCTTTGCTCAGCCACCAGATCTCTCATTCACTCAATGCTGATCTAGTGCTGAGAAAGAGCCCCCACCTGAGCTCCATCCAGCCCCTGCAAATAAAGCACTTTGTGTTCCTGCCCCTAGGATTTCCCCTGGATCCTGGCTGATGAACAGGATGTGCACATGCATGACCCCCGGCTTATTCCCCTGAAAACCATGACATCTGACATACTAAAGGTGAGCAGAGTGTTCTGGCCCAGGAGGTGGCTGTAACCCAGTGTGGGTCCAAGCTTTATCTACTCTGATATCAGCTCTGCAGCTTTCTAAAGAGTAAGTTTGAACAGTGCTGAGCAGTTCAGTCTGGTAGATGCCTCTGCCAGTAATAAAACAGGGCAGGACTCCTCATGATAAAATAAACCTTGTTACGGGGAAAGGAACAAACTTATTTAACCTGTGGCTTTTCCCCCATTCACCTACCTGCATATCAAATGACCTGGTGCTTGTTTCTGTCCTCCAGATGCAGCTCTATGTAGAAGAGCGAGCCCACAAAGGCACTTGATTTCCAGTCTTGCCTTCAAGCCTCATCTGATCTTCCAGTGGATGAAGATATCTCACAAACCATACCTTGCTAACTGTCTCTTCAGCTGGCCTTCTGGGTGAATGTAGAGCAGCTGCTGCCTCTCTATTTCAAGTGCTCTTACCACTGTATATAGAACTGACTTGGAATGTGGAGCCAGAGCCTGTTCCCATGTACACTCATGTGTGAGTATAGGTTTTGTTCCAGTGACTCCCTGGGGGCAGGACATAGGTGACTGCAGTGTGCAGTCAGTGCTTTGTACAGCTCCAGTTCTCACCTCAATAGGGCATCATCTCCATTGCACATCGATAGCGATATACAGCGATCCACTACAGCAACGGACTCATGTCAAGGGTGAGTGAGGCCTTATGTAGTGTCTGTCCACTGTGACTGCCCCAAGTCATCTTCAATAAATACTGGGTTTTACCTGACTTCTGTCCAAACCAGCTCCCCCTGTGAGCAAGTATTTTTGTGTATGGAGCTTTGTATTTTATGTGGAGCTTTCCCGTATCTTTTCTGTGCGGATCTGTCAGTTCCTATGCAGGGGTTATACAGCCTTGGTCTTTCCCCTTTCTATGGGAAAGCTTTCAGCCACAAGTGGCATTAGCAAGGTGGAATGTGTCTGTCCAGCAAGGACACCTGCCAGGGATCCTAAACAGAGGACAAGGGGAGCCCTGTTAATCATACACACCTGTGAAAGGAGAGGGAAGAAGGCCTTAGCTCTGTGCATACAGGGGTAGAAGACTTGGTTCATCGTATTTGAGCTGAGCTTGCTGGTGAGACAATTTGATAACACAGCCAGTACAGAGCCTCCCTGCTCCCTCCAAGTACAAACTGCAAGAGTACTCTAGAGCATTGTGCTGCTTTAACACTTTATATAGGGTCAGACTGTTCAGTACAAACCAAGTGCTTTGGTAGTATAAAGGGAGGATGGAGCACAATCAAAAGGCACTTCTGTTGTAAGGGAGCCACCTTAGGAGATTTCTTATCTCCTCTTTCTCAGTGGTTTGTTCAAACAACAGTGGGCTGGTTTGGGGCTTGGAAGGCACGTTCCATTCTGATCTTCTACACTTAAAGAAACAGTAAGGAAATTAAGTACCAGTGCCACAGCATTTATGAAAAAGGGTTGACGATTTCCTTATGCTGTGAAAGGTCTGATGTGAAAGACATGTTTTTTATACATAATAAAACTAAAACAGGAAAATAACATACAAAACCAACTATCCCTGTAGCAGAGCCCTTGAGGACAGCATTGATAACCTGCATGAAACAGTTTAGCCTTCTCTTTCATAAGTTCCATAAACAAACAAGAAAGGGTTTCTGTTTAAGACTTAGGGTTTGGCTGCAGCACAAGGACGTATTAACTAGACAAACAGATGTCATTTCATTGTCCTGGTCTTCCTCCTTTGGAAGGGTACTGGTAATTGCAGTACCATCCACAGTGCAGGAGGAGGAAGATGAGGACAGAAGTCCTTGGAGAGGGCCAGGCCTGCACAAGTTCTGCTGCAGGGAGAACTCGCTGCCTGGGTTTGAGATCAGCTGTGCAAGACAAAGCCAGGACACTCACCCAGAGAGTACAGACAAGTAAGTGCACCTGAGACCACCTGGTTACAGTCCTGAGGTAAAAGCAAACACATATTGTGCCTTCATAACATTGTGAGGGGCCCAATGGTGATGCTGGAGTTAGTCACTCGGATCCCATACCACCCTGCCCAGAACTGGGTGTCTTGGCCTCCATGCTGGAACCAGATGTAACGAACTCCAGGTGGGTAATTCTTGAAGGTGTGAGAAATCTGGAGAGAAAGAGGAAAATCCTTCTTAATTTGTCTAAATAAGCCAACATTGACCGAGAAGCTTGGACCACCACAGTGAGTCTTGGTCTCAGAAAAAGCTCATTCTAAGGTTATCTCCCATTGAAAGAGCATCATCCCCTTTTTTGAGGGACAGGAAAAAAAGCCTCTTATTCAGCCTCTACCGTAAGTCATAACATGAAGCTTGAGTCTTAGATTGCTATGTAAGAACTTAATGGGGCATCTAGAGCCAAACAAACCAGTTGAACATGTTTAGCAGTTCAAGGAAAGGAGCATGGGCAATACTTCAAATGGCATCCGTGTAGTAGTTTTAAAACAAAGCTTTGTGATCTAATAGAAACAAGAGCCATGCTCTTGTAACTTAGACAAAGCACTTAAATGGAAAACCAGAAACGATTAAAGAGACTGAGCTAAAACGACAGAGGAGCCCAGGGTTACTCTTTAGGAAACCCTGGGTACCTACAAACCAACCCAAGCTCTTCCATAGTACTGCTGCTGCTTCAGCATTGGTAACAGCAACAGCTCACCTTTTGCACTGAACAGAGGAAGCCCCACATGGGACTTCTGGCTAAATCAGGCTTCAAGATTCAAGTGTCACAATACTGGGGGAAGCCACTGAGCTGTGCTCACCTCTCTCCATGTGGCATCATTCCACTGCTCTATAACCACCGGCTCGGGGCGGAACTCCGCAAGGACAATGTAGTCTTCAGAAAGCAGCCTCACTGTAAGCTCATAGCGACACCCACAGTCAAATCTGGCAGCATACCTAGAGAGGCAGGGAGAAATCAACTGAATACACAGTGTTCAGTTTCCTTCAGTGGTCAGGAACAGTTTCCAAAGGGGATCTGCACCTACAGAGGAAAAGGAATGTCACCCCTGTAGCTATGAAGAAGTTCCAATACTTCCACCTATCCTGCTCCCCACAGGATTGCCCCCTCCTTACAGCTTACTGAATAAACTTAGGATTTAGCTTCTGTTTTACTCAAGCTACAACTCCCAAAGGATAAAGAGCTAATTTTATAGCATGGGAAGCTCCAGAGACCTGGCTTGTCTCTAGGCCGATGCCAGTTTTCAGTGCATACGCTTACCAGTCCTTGACTACTATTTCAGGCCGTTTCTCATCCATCAGCTGGTTCCAGTAGCCTTCTTTCTGCAGGGTGATGAGTTGAGACTTGAAGCACGGCCTGCAACAGCAACAAAAGCATTCAGTGTCACAAAACACATCTCTTCCCTCTCAACATCTGCCCTTCCCCTGACAGCTTTCCTCTCCCCAAAGGCCCACCCCAGACCCTTCTGTTCAGTGACCTGCCTCAAGCCTTCCAACTGTAGTGCCTTTGCAGACAGATGGGAGGAACCAGGTCTCCAACCCCAGATTACTGGAATCCAGTTCTTACCCATATGAAGTGACGAAGTATTTCTGTACTTTGGGGTCTGCGATTTCTCTTCCATGAGGGCCAGGCATATTCTCAATCTTCCATTTATCTCCCTCGTTATTATCAAGTTTCCAGTGCTGAAATTTCTCTAAAAACATCAATATCAAAGATGAGTGTTAGGCCTTGGTGCTATTTCCAGCTTTTGATAAAGAATCAGCTACAGAAGAATACCAGGAGCCTACTTTGATGACTTTTCAGATACACTCTATTATTCCTACAGCTGAAAGCGACTCCTGTCTTTATGTTGCCATCACTTTCAATGTGGCTGTCAGCAGCCAGGCCAACAGGGAGCAACTTCCTGACCACATCAGAAACACAGCAATAAAGCAGAATTACAGCAGTTACGTTAGTCAAGTCTTTGACAACAGAAACTCCCCAGCTGCTGGATGTTTAATCCTGACACCTGATGGTTTCACTGCCGTGTTGTGCTAGCTGTGCAAATTAACAGCCAGCCTGCAGCACTGGGGCCTTGGTGACTCCAGAGATGGAGGTTTTCCTGCTGGCAACCAAAGACAGGGATTTACTGAGAGTTTATCTCCCCACAGTAGTTTCACTGCAGATCTGCCCCAGCAGAGATCTATCAGTAGCCGGACAGCCCCACACCACCAGCAGCGCTTGAGTGATGCAGGACACTGACTCATTCTGACCATTAGGAAACTCCGAGTCCTCTGGCCTATAAATAATGAAACAAACCTTCAGCGCAGGGGTTTTTGATTAAGTTTCTCTTCAGCTGGCACAGCATGTAGAAGACCTTCCAGTCCGAGACGCTCCCATCCAAGTCCTGCCGGTAGCACCCCTCACGCTGGCACTTGCGCTTCCACAGGGTGGTCAGATCCACCACGTACCGCCACTGGGCGCACACCACCCTGCAGGTGCGCACCAGCTCCCGGGCGGGCAGCAGCGACAGCAGCTCCACCAGGACGTCCTCGGGCAGGTCGCAGATGGTTGTCATCGCACACCGACAGCGCAGGGCCTGTCTGCGGACAGAAGCACACACAGTGTTTGCCACCGAGCGGCACGGCCCCCGCTCGGAACGCTGCCGTGCCGCGGGGCATCGCCCCAGCACCGCCCGTACCCCTCCAACCCGGCCCCGGCCCTACCTGCGCCCCCGGACGTGGATGTGCGGCGGCCGCGGCCCTTCCGCAGGGGCGGAGCGCGGGGCGGGCGGCCGGGAAGGAGGCGGTGCCCGCGGGGCCGCGGCTCTTTATCAAGGGAGCGGGGCCCGGCCCCGAGCCGAGCCGAGCCCGCCGCTGAGCAGCGCTGCAGGTAAGGGAGCTCGGTGCCGGTGCGGGGAGAGAGGAACCAGAGCAGGGGATGAGGGCGGCCTGGGGTTAAGAGCACGTGAATGGGGGTGGGAAAGGGACTGCCCCCCGTTCCCGGAGCGCTGGGGATCCTCGCTTCCAGCCGTGCTCCAGCACCAGGCCTGTGCAATGAAAGCAGCGCAGTCCCTCTCTGTTTGACAAATCATAGTCTTCAGGACTGTGGTTGAGGGTTGGAAAGGGGAAGGGAAATGGGAAATCCCCGTAAGAGCCAGAGGATATTAAATGACAGTTTCCTCCTGCTGTCTGCAGTGCAGATAGAGGACACATGACAGCCTGGCATCCAGAGCACCTAGAGTTAGGATGCTGTTATAGTGGTGACTCCTATTTCTCCCCTTCCTGGCCTGAGCTGGCACTCTTTCATCACATATCATGTGAGGATACTTCACCTGCTTTGTCCCTAGTGCTCTCCTAGGCTTAGTAAGGAGTTTGGCTGCATCTGTGCAGTTTGCTGCAGTGTGGGCAGCTTCCCAGCATCAGGGCTCAGCTGAGCTACAAGCAGTGTCACAGGGCACTGAATGACACAGGCTCTCAACCTGCACACTCATGGGTCCTTACTCCTGCAGCACCCAGCTCAGGAGCTCAGGGCAGCAGAGAGTGGCTGGGAGTCAGAGTGCAGAATCACTGCATCCAGTTAAAGCACACACTTGTGACTGAACTGCTCAAGGTTATAAGGCCATAGAAAAAATGAATATTAGAGAATATCAACTGAATAATCTTCTGTTGTGCTCTGATCCATGCTTTATACAGGCTCATGACAAAGAAGATTAAGTGCCAGCCCCTTGAGGGGAAAAAAGCCTTTCAGATATAGAATGAACCATTGCAAATGGGGATGGCAGGATGCTCACCACTGATATTCAGGTGCTGCTCTGCAGCTTTCACCACTGGTGATATTCTTAAAGGCAGAAAACCCACCCAGATGCCTCCCTCTGCAGAGGAAGTCATTGCTAAAGCTGGGTTTTGCAGCAGCAGAGACTTCTGGAAGGACAGATTCCAGTCTGGGACCAGTCCAAACTGCAGCTGTCAGCTACTTGCATTTTGTGGATGGATTTAACCAATGGCTTTCACTTAGAAAACGTTAACCTACTCATGTGCTTCAGGGCATTAACTTAATAGGAGTCAGGAGGCCTTAAGGTTTGGAAGCAATCTATAACCCAAAATCATGCTTTCACATAACTTGCTGATTTGTCCCTTTTTTCCTACCGCATCAGCATTTGGCATCACTGTGTGTGGGGGACCTCCTGTCTGAAGGCTGTGTCACTGCTCCTTTCCCCCTTCTTTCTCAGAAGGATTCATCCAGCCCGGCCCAAGGATGGAGTCCCTCCCTGAAGCAGTCCTGATCAGGATCCTGGCTTCCATACCTGCGGTGGATCTGGTGCTGGCCTGCCGCCTGGTCTGCTGCCAGTGGAAGAACCTGGTTGATGGAGCTGCCCTTTGGATCCTGAAGTGTCAGCAGGAAGGCCTCACTGGAGCAGAGGCACAGGAGAATGCAGAGAACTGGCAAAACTTCTATTTCCTGAGTAAGAAAAGGAAGAATCTCATCAAGAACCCATGTGGTGAAGGTGAGAGACGGCATAACAAGCCCCAGGATTTCATAGAGGTGACCAGTCACTGGAACTGGGCATCTCCAGTCTGTGGAAAAAAGACCTTAGTTGCTACCAGGTTGTAGCATTTTCTTCTTGCCCAAGAGCCAAGTCATTTAATGGGCATGAAGACCCTTGATAATCAGCCTTGGCAAAGGGCTCTACTTGACATCAACTTTACGTAAGCCCTTGCAGGGATCCAAATCATACAGAAATGTCCTTTGCGGTCCCTGTCCACTGGGAGACAGAGCCCCTGTCTAAGTCCAGTACCTGGAGGGGACAGAGCCCCTGCCCAGTGCAGTACTGAGAGGGACATCTGCATTTCTAGATTGCTTCTTGCTACACCAGGACAGAAAAGAGGAAGCCCTTCCCTGCTCAGGAGCTGGTCTACTCATAGCTCACCAGGCACTTTGGGCTTCCTTCCTTGAAGCAGCTCTTGTCTGTATTCTCCTTCCCACAGCCTGTCAGAGCTGTGCACACCCCGTGGTTGCCATTATGATGATAATCTATGACCTTTGCTTGCCAGATCTACATGATGCTCAGCAATAGGCAGCAGTAACCAGGCCTCAACAAAAGCAGCAATAAACACATTTCACACATCACAGACCAAAGCAATATCAACACAGCTGCTCCAGTCTGTTTACAGATTAGCTTTCTGGAAGCTTTTCCAACACCCAGGGTCCCTCTGGCTGAGACCAGAGGAGTCCAGTGCTTAATCCTGCTTCTAGAAATACCACTTAGCAATTTAGAAAGCTGATAAATCCAGCACTCAGCATCCCTCCCCAGGCTGTGCTTGTGTTATAAGACTGGAAGTACTGAAATACAGTTCAGAACACCTAAATAATCTCCCTGGAGTTGAAGTACTTAAATATACCCACATAGCCATTGTGCATGGCCATTTTGGTGGGGAATGTTAAAGTCTGTTAATATTCAGTTCAGCCACACTAAAGGTATTTGCCTGACCCCTACTTGACAAACATCTCTCTAGTCTACATACAAACTGATATAATCATAGACTGCTTTGGGTTGGAAAGGACCTTAAAGCTCATCCTTCCACTGGAGCAGCTTGCTCCAAGCCCCTGTGTCCAACCTGGCCTTGAGCACTGCCAGGGATGGGGCAGCCACAGCTTCTCTGGGTAACCTGTTCCACAGCATTCCTTTCACAAGCCAGAAGAAGGTCCCAGGAGAGGTGGTCAGGTTCCCCCATCCCAGAAACTAAGACTCATCCAAGTCTCTTTTCTGCCATTCGCAGAAGACTTGCAGCACTGGGGAGAGGTAGAGAATGGAGGTGATGGCTGGAAAACTGAAGAGCTTCCTGGAGACTTTGGAAAAGAATTCCCTAGTGAAGAAGTCCATAAGTACTTTGTTACATCTTATGAGTAAGGCTGCTTTCTTCTCTTATTCAGGGAAGGGGACATTTTTGGTTGTCCCAGTCCCAGGAGAGACTGTGATACCCATTAACATCCTGTGTTTCAGGTGGTGCCGAAAGGCTCAGGTCATTGACCTGAGGGCTGAGGGCTACTGGGAAGAGCTGATGGACACAACCCAGCCTAAAATTGTGGTAAGAGACTGGTAAGTAGCAAGGATGCCTCATAAGTCAGACAGGGAAGGGCATATACTTGCCCTGGACCTTAACACCTCAGCTCCCAGGATCCCCTGGATGTGGGACAGGGCTGGGTCTTAGCTTACAGCACCACAAGATTCGAATTGGTGTGTGTGGCCTCTAAAGACCAGGTTCTTGTTGTGAATGAGGGGAGGTGGTAGGGTGGGGTAGGAACCATTGCAGATTCCCACCTCAAACCAAGGCTCCAGTACCTTGAGGAGATGGAGCCTGCATTCAGCAAGATGTGGTTGCATGCCCTGGCCCTTTTGCAGTGCAGGTCTCCTTTACAGGTATGCAGGGCGCAGTGATGCTGGGTGCCTCTATGAGCTCTGTGTGAAGCTGCTGTCAGAGAACGAGGATGTTCTGGCTGAGTACAAAAGTGAGACCATTGCCATCCCACAGGACAACGACGCCAACTGGACTGAGGTGAGTTACATTCTGGGCTCAGCAGGAACTGGGAATGTTTGCAAGCAGAGAGAAGCAGGAGAGTTCTAGAGGAAAGGGCATCTGTTGTGTTCTGCGGAGCCACGGCCCTGTGTTTGAATACAGGGATCATACTGGGAGGGTACCTTACATAAAACTTGGGAGCTTGCTGAGCCACCACTGCAGGTGTGAGATGAAGGAGATGCCTGAAACTGGAAGAGGTTCAATGGCCTCTGAAAACAATGGGATCAAAGCTCCTTCTAGTAACTCCCACTGTAAATGTCCTCACTGCTACCCAGCCTGGTAGGTGTGACCCAGGCAGGTGGGGTGAAGGCTCTGTGCACTAAAGGGTAGGGTCATGGTGGTTTGGCAGTCACCAATAGAATCATAGAATAGTTCGGGTTGGAAAGGACCTCAAGATCATCCAGTTCCAACCCCCTGCCATGGGCAGGGACACCTCACACTAAACCATAGCACCCAAGGCCTCGTCCAACCTGGCTTTGAACACTGCCAGGGATGAAGCATTCACAACCTCCTTGGGCAACCCATTCCAGTGCCTCACCAGTGGCCTTCTGTGCTGAACTGGGAGAATTTATACCACCATACATTGCAGTAAAACCGAAGGAGGACATCTCCCTTTTAAATCTGTATCATAACATTCTCCTGAAAAATAAATAATCAGTCTTTACAAATTTTTGCAACACACCCAATTTAAAAAGAAATATTTATAATAATAGCGATAAAAGTTCAAACTTTCATTAAGTAATTATATAAAAACACGTATGAAAATAAATTTGATATACGTCATGAGAAAGTGCATAGTAAAAACTCTGTATTACTTTTATACAATAACCATTTTGTGTCTCATCCCAAAGATCTCCCACACCTTTTCCAACTACGGGCCTGGGGTCCGCTTTGTCCGCTTTGAACACGGTGGCCAGGACACGCTGTTCTGGAAGGGGTGGTACGGCGTACGTGTGACCAACAGCAGCGTGACAGTGGAGCCATAGCCATGCAGAACTGGGGCCTGCATGCTGGAGCTGACTTCCCTCAGGGCATCCTATGGCCTCTGGATGGTTTCTGCATGGTGCTGCTTCCAGGCTGTAGAGCACACAGCCTTTCTGCGCATTAACATGTGTGAGATGCCAGGGGCCACCATCAAGGGGACTGTGCAAAGAATGGGAATGGGGTTGTGAACGGGAGAGACAGCCTCGCTGCTTGCACGGATGTTCTGTCAGCTATGAGATCCCCAAAGGTCCTGCAGATCCTGCTTTTAAGGCACTAGCGCCCTGCCTGCTTCCCAGACCTGGGCATCCCTTAACTTTAAGGGGCACTTTGGGTGTATTTTTTAGAAGGCAGAGTAGAAAAAAGGGAAGAAAGAAAAGCATAGTCCTTGTGTGTGAGAACATGCCAGAGCCTTGTCACATCTGAAGCATCACCAACTGCTTCATGAGAACCTTAGCTTCTCCCATTTATAAACCATAGATGTCATTGCTGGCCACAGAGGAGCTCCAGCTTGGCTGCCAAGTGCTGTTAGTTTAATTTTTAGTGAAAATGCAAAGCAGTTGGGACTGGATCCTTTTCTACTGTTCCCAGCATCCATTTATCAAGTGTTGGGAACTGAAATCTCTCCGGTGTCCAACCCTGCTGCTTTGTTTAGCTCCCTCAGACAGAGCAAGCAACAGTAATTACTGGGGGAGAGATGCCAAGGCCTTAGGGAAATGGGTTAGAATCAAACTGGGGAGGGGGTCCAGGGACAAACTCAAACTCATCTACCCCTTCCTGGCCTCTGCATGCTTCATGCAACAAGCACCCTGGTCATCCCCTGGCAGGCAGGCACTGCTGTTCACACAGAGCTGTTGTTAGCCCCACTGAATCCCTGTTCTTTCTGCCTGCTAGCAGTGTCTGCAAAAAGTACATGTCTGCCTCCACTCCATATGCTCACTGACAAGACAGCACTTCATCCATACTCCCACTAGTGCCTCTTGATACCACTGAAGGCTGTGAGCCACCATCCTGAGCAGACACCTAAAGCTTCCCTGAACCAAGCCTGTTCCTGCTGGTGAGTCCTCTCAGAAGAGCATCCCCTTAATAGAGCTGGTGTTGCCTGGAGAGAAAGGCGCTTCCATTTTTGCATCCATCCATCCATCTGTCTTCCATTTCTGGCCTGCCAGCACATACACACTTGAATGCCACTTTGCATCACAGTGCACCATTACAAGCGCAGTGTAACTATTATTAACTGTAGCCAAAGCAGAGAGCCTGTGAGCTGGTCACTGCATGCTCTGCTTCCCCAGGCTTTCTGCACTGGGATGCCTCCAAACCACAGCCACACCAAGCCAAAGGCCAGGCAAACACAATAAAGTGACACAACTGTGTGTGGATCTTCCCTTGTGTGCTGGCTGTTTGTGTCCTGGGCTTCAGTATGTGTCTTCTGTTCATTTAGGTGGGCTGTTGTCAACAACCAGGAGTCATTGTATCTTGGATAATACCACGAGTCTCTGTGAAAGAGGTACATGCTCTGTTCCCTGACCCAGCAGCCTCAATCTGTCAGAAGCACTTGATGGGCAGAGCAGCAGCAGGCAAAGGGGCACTTCAAACACAGGGGGAATTCATGCAAGGCACAGAGGAGCCTACACAGCCCAGCCCTGACAAATGGCCTCCAGGTCATCTCTAACTGCAGCTCCGCTGTGAGCTCAACCTTGTTCTGACCCAGGGGAATCCAGAACCCGTTCAGAATTGAAGCCTTTCCCCTCCATCACCCCTGCTCTTAAATCCTCTGCACATCAAACCAAAGTGCATCACAGCCACCTCTGCTGCAGACACTGCTTCGTAGTGAGCTACACCAAAGACTAGAAATGTCCTCCAAAACAGCTGCATGATGAGAGCTAGAGGGAGAGTTTAAGG